TCCAGACTGCTCACAGTGAAATGATTATCAAACTACCTGAGACAAAATGTTGCAATAATGGAATCAGAGCCTTATTATTAAACCAGTGCTGATATGAAGAAACGACAGTGCCCTGTGCAAGGAAGCACTAACAGCAGATGAAGCAGAAAACTGAAAACAGTTGACTATGAATGATTACACAACCACTGGCATGTAGCGGCCCTGATATCGATAAATTCTACACGCAATATAACCCGATACTACATGCTTGGTTAAAACTTTACACGAAAAAGCTTCGATATCCGGGCATTTACTCTTACACTGAACTGAAAATAGCATCGTCTAAACGTGTATGTGTTGGCTTCCGGGTAAGTTTATCAACATTTATACTCAATTGAAAGAGAAGTCGTGCTTATATCGTGTACCAGTTTGATTTATTTATATGTGTGTGTATTTATAACACGATAACCTAGTAATACCGTGTCGTTAGAACAACTGCTAGATATCGAACTGATGACCCGAAATTACATTATTGGACTGATCGCGCATCTGATATTAAATGATTACTTTGCATTGAAACTGATATTAACTTGCAACCCAATACCATGACTTTACATTAGAATGATAACACGGCCTCATATTCTAATCCATTATACGTCCATTGCAGGCCAAAAATGTTTCAATGTGGATATTGTAATGCACACGAGAATACATTCGATTCCTATATTGATCATACATCAATTGAACATGGAGATTTTCCTGTACACTTTTCCCAAACCTGTGGAATAGACAAGATGCGAGTAGAAATTATCTTGATTTACGTCATCAAATATTCAAAATTCATTTTTTGAAAAAATTCGAAACCATCGAATATCACTTTTTAAGACGTGATATTCGATAGTTTAAAAGTGATATTCGATGGTTTGTAAATTGTTTACTAAAATATGATATCTTGGTCACATATCAAATATATCATCATGTGATATTCGATCTATATCATTGCAACCATGGGATATAGAGGATATCCTATGATTTATGAGAGATATGATTTTTATCCACGAATGAATATGATATCTTAAGTATGTTTCCCACATGCTCTGGTGTGTTACTTGCAAAATATGTTATCATTTTCAAAAAAAATTCAAAATTTTTCCAAATTTGTTTTCAATTTTTTTAAAAATGAAAAAGAAAATTTCCAAAAATTTTTTTCACAATTTTTTTTCAAATTTTTTGTCCAAAATTTTTTTTCAAGATTTTTTCACATTTTTTTGCATAATTTTTTTCCACAATTTTTTCACATTTTTATTTTCAGATTTTTTTTCAAAAATGAAAAAAAAATTCCAAATTTTTTTTCACATTTTTTCCCCAATTTTTTTCCCACATTTTTTTCACCTTTGTTTGGCATACTTTTTTTTCAGAATATTTTCAAAACTTTTTTTTCAAAACTTTTTTTTCAAAACTTTTTTTTCAAAATTTTTTTTTTCCGAATTTATTTTTAACATTTTTTTGAGCGGGACATACGATTTATATGGAGCTCCGTCGGAGCGGGACATACGAAAAATATTTGCCGGATATGGAATATATTCCCGGTTGATATACCCCTGAAACCTCATCAGGTATGGAATACATATAGGTTATTTACTGGGAGGGATTGAATATGGGTTTTATTCCGAGGGACAATATGATATTGACTGAAGGGTAATATAATATTGACCGAGAGCGCAGCGACCGAGTGTCAATATCATATTGCCCAAGGTCAATATCATATTTTCCGAGGAATAAAACCCATATTCAATCCCTCCCAGTAAATAACCTATTTATTATACATCCCTCTAGAATGTTACATTTGGATAATGCAAACGTTATATTAATAAATTCACATTGTTTGAAAAATAAAATAAATAAATAAAATAACCGGGAAACTAAAAAATAGGTCAATACGCTCCAATACGATTTTTTCCCGGGGACAATACGATTTTTTCATGTAATACGATTCAATACGATTTTAATTCCTTCATATTTCCCTGGGAAAACAGTAGTACTATGGAATAAAATATATTTTCCCTCGGGACCTGCGGCCCTCGGACAGATATATTATATTTGCCTCGGGGTAATCCCAATATCTTGAACCTCATATAGGATAATCTCTATATCTACCTGATGGACCATAGGGACCGAAGGTAGACGTGCATATCTCACGAGGGATAAACCCCATATCCAAACCGACCGCACATATCTGCTTTATCATATACCAAGTAGTTTTCTAAAAAATTAATCTTATTTCTTTTTTTGAATTTTTTAAATTTTTTATTTTTATTCTCTACTCTACTTGTCAAAGGATAATAGACGATAAATATATATATATAGTTTAGCATGATATGTACTTCTTTCTGTAACTGGAATACGATTCTAATATACAAGCAACACATACGTATTCCCGGGGAACCATAAATATTTTGTGTAGGGTGTGGACATTTTTCTTTTCATTTCTCTAAAATCAGATTATTTTCATAAAATCCATACAAAGTTGGGCCCAAGCCTCTATTTTCGTATTCTGCATGTTAAGATATTTATAATGTAAAACCTAAGAGATAAATTCAATGTCTTCAGTTGAGAATAAGTATAGGTAAATGTGTGAATTCTGCTTGTTGTTGCACTATTTTTATAATAAACAAGGTTCGATACGCAACACTGAATAGACTGCAGTTATAGCTTAGTTGTAAAGAAAACAAAAGAAGTTGGGACGTGGTCATACTTGATTATGTTTCTTTTATATATCACCGTTTGCATTCGTTGAAATCGGCCTGCATTGATTTCAAGAGGTGGTCGGTGTACAAGGTCATATGTTTGAGTTATTGGTTTAATGATAAATGTGACCCTTGAATGCGTTAGGCTTTATGTATGCGTGAAACAAATACTCCAATGGCCTAATCTCAATTTGCCTACAAACAATATAACATTGAAATGATGGTCATCTGCATATTAACTTCCGCACCACACGTCTAACTTCGACACAATTCAGTAAAGTATCCAGTATCGCTTAAATCGCTACATGCCAGTGACAACTATAACATCTTAATCACACGAAGGCATATTTCATGTCATAGTGACATAGCTGGTGTATTACATACCTTTATTCCCATGGCTATGTTTTATCAGTGACATCACACATGTGTGTGCGAGTAGAATTCGATTGAAATGAAACGCATGACATTATGATATTTTCATGGTCATTAAAGAATCTAATATCAAAATGAGGTAAGGGGGGTATATCGGGGTAATTCATCAGGCAATAGCGGTAGATATAGCTCGCTAACCTTCACAGGCGTCTTATCCAATCAATTAGTGATAGTGAAAATTACAAGGTTAGGGATTTTATATGAATAAGACAAACCCTAAAATTCCTCATATACAGGGTGTTGTGAGTTCCACCCCCTCCCCCTCTAAAGCCCAAACCAAGATGTATGGTACCAAGTTAATGCATCATTGGAAAGATCATCCAAAGATACTTTAATATGTGTTATATCTGGTACATGTCAATCAATGTCACAAAACTGCTATCAATTAAGGTGACCATAGACCTAGAAACATGGCAATTTGACGTATTTAGCAGGATACTAAAAATCATGTATCAGAAAGTCAAGTGAGCTCAAGATGCATATCACAGTGAATTTAACTGATTTCTGGACATCATGAAAATATAGGTAAATTTCATCTAAATTACTTGAGATACTTTAGGTGACCTTTCAAATGGTATATCATACTCGGTACCATCTTTTAAGGTTTTAGCTGTAGCAGTGGGATGGGACTTATTTGACATCCTGTATATGATGGATGGTCACCTCATGATATCGTTACATTTGGATTACAACTGAGTAACCTGTTGTAGTTAAAAGTTCTGCAAATCTGTGGATATCTCAAGTCAACATTGGATTGAAATGACATTTGAAGCTCTAAATAACACTACTGACTGCAAATTAAGTTAAAATCAACTTAAAATACTTGACAAAAATATATACACAATATTTATGGAGTATACTTTAATACAATAGCCTTAGAATAAATATGTTGTAGCCTATATGCATGGAAAATAAAGAGTTAACTGTTAAAAATAAATACAATACAAGTAAATGCTTCTTTGTTATTAACTGCTGAAATGAGTGGTAAAATGCTTGTTTGCAGAAAACTAAAAGTTTATTAGAGCATTGAAATAATGGCCGAAAAAGACTAAAAATTGATGTTGGTGAAAGTATTAATTTTCCCCCAATTTTTTTCCCTGGCATAATGATTCTAGCATTTGAAACAAATTCCATCTCCAAAGCAATATTTTATGCATGGCATGATTTTTGTAACAAAATTTAAACTGGGTATAAATTCTGTAACAATTTTTATGCCTAGCATGAACTTTGTAACAATTTTTATGCTGGGCATTAATTTTGGAACAAATTTTATGCCCGGCATAAATTTTGGAACAAATTTTATGCCCGGCATAAATTTTGGAACAAATTTTATGCCCGGCATAAATTTTGGAACAAATTTTATGCCGGGCATAAATTTTGGTCAAATCAAATTCATAAAATAGTGGAACTATATATTCTCATTATTTGATCAATTCTCATTTCAAAAAAAAGGGTGTTAAATGTGATATATGCTTGGCTTGAACATTCCAAAAATTGTTACCTGTAAAAATACTTTGATATTTGAAGTCCATGTATTAGAAATAAAAAGTTGAACTTAAAGATTATATAATCTACAGCAGGCTTGTATTCCATTTTGGCTTATTTTACTTATTTTACATTTTGGCTTATTTTACATCTTGACTTATTTTACATTTTGGCTTATTTTACATCTTGACTTATTTTACATTTTGACTTATTTTACATTTTGGCTTATTTTACATTTTGGCTTACTTGACATTTTGGCTCATATTCCATTTTGGGTTATTTTACATTTTGGCTTATTTTACATTTTGGCTTATTTGACATTTTTGCAATTCCATTTTGGCTTATTTTACATTTCAGATTGAGAGAACAGAGTATTATTTAAAGCGAGAAGACAAAGATGGAAAACTTTATGAGCATTTATCTAAACACAGAGTGCTCTCTTCTCTACCCATGAGCCTTTGGTACAAATCAAGCTTTGCTGGAGTACTACCAGAGACATCTTTTGAAAGGTAGAGTAACATATTAGAAAAAAGTATATCAACTTACTTCAAAATATATTGAAACAGACAAATAAACGCTTTTGAATTAAAATCTCAAATATTTTTATACAGCATGGTTTAGAAATAGACCAACAATCCCATACATGTATATGAATAATGCTTTAGAGTTCAAAATTCCAATTAATCCCAATCATCTTTGGTGAACCTACAAAATTAAGGTAAATTGATTAGATTAGGGACAAGACCCTCGTAATGTTTGTTTCTACTGGATGACATTTCACATATAGTTAGTTATCCCAAGGAGTAAAGTTCGCTGAAGCCGTCCACCAGTCTGCCTGTCTGACCATCCATCTGCAGTAGAGTATTCAAATAACTTGAGTCCTATAGAGGAATGATTTTCTTCTTTTTCGGTGGAAAGATGGCTATTGGTAAATGAAAGGACACATCATTAATCAAATTTTATTTTTCAGAATATGGGACACATCATTAATCAAATTTTATTTTTCAGAATATGGGACACATCATTAATCAAATTTTATTTTTCAGAATATGGGACAAGGTGATAGGAGGTTCTTGTAAGATCCTAGTATTCCTGATGGTTTCTACACTATTAACATTAAAGAGACCTCTGCTTAGTATGAACTCATCACAGGAAATCGTGCAATATTTGAATAAGGTAAGACAGAATTGTTAACTATGACTCAATTAATAAACATTTTAGGCATATTTACTGATTTTCTGTAATTCTGCACCGCAGATGGAATTTGTCAAAAACTCCCCCATTTTGCAGAATCCCTGATTTTCAAGAAAATCCATCAGAATTACATGTTTTTACGAATTCCTACCGTTGCAAGGTATTTGTAATAGGTCTGTTTATGGCCAGCACCCAATCATTATTGAGTACAACTACAGTTTTATCGTGAAATTCCATCCCCATTCCATCATGTATCAGTTCGCTAAAGCGATCAGCAGTTCTTTCATATAATAGTTGTCGGATAATCCACTTCCGGTTTCCATATGGGATTTTAAGTTTTCAACAAGTCAAAAATGGAAAGAATAGTGTACAAAATTGATTGAATCCTCGTTTTAGAAAATTGCAGAATTTTGTTGTTCCGAATTTTGAATTTTGCAGAAAACTAGTATGTTTGTGATTATTCACAATAGCCATGTTTTACCTTTTTCAAAACCATTTTCACACTAACGCTATATATTATATTATCAATTTTACTTTTTTCCCAATATAAATGTTTTCGCTGAAAAATTTATTTGAGCCGGTTGGTACAAAGCAACTCTCAACAAAATGTTAGAACAAGAGCTTTCTCTGGCACATAAATTATATAAAAAATTTCATTTTCAGATATCGTCTGACAGTGCTGATATTATAGTAAGTAAATCCTTAGATCTCTGGCAGAAGTATGGAAGTTTACTATTACCTTCTTCCAAAGGTAATTCACCAGTTGTTATCCAAGAAAGACCACCTAGCTAGCTAGCATATGTGATACAAGCTCGCAAGATGTTATCCAAGAAAGACCACCTAACTAGCATATTTGATAATCAGTTGTTATCCTAGAAAGATGATACAAACTTACTAGATGTTATCCAGAAATATGTGATACAGACTCTCCAGCTGGAAAGACCTAGCAAACATACATGTATGTGATACAAACTCACCCAAAGTTATCCAAGAAAGACTTCCTAGCTGGTATTTGTGATACAAATTCACTAGATGTTATCCAGAAATATGTGATACAGACTCTTCAGCTGGAAGGACCTAGTGAGCATACATGTATGTGATACAAACTCACCCAAAGTTATCCAAGAAAAACTTCCCATCTCGTATTTGTGATACAAATTCACTAGATGTTATCTAGAAAAGAACATGCTATGCTCCCATATGTCTATTCTTTACTTGCATTAGGCACTTAATTTGCATTTATATTTTTGATATTGTACGAGGGTTGATCCAAAAGTTCCCATGTTGCTGGTAAAATGTATTGCTTATTTTTACACAAAATGAAACTACTATATATTGGGTGGTTGTGGCCAAATATGAACAATACTCATAAAGTATTAAGATTTTTAGAGCAAATGGTTCGGAACTTTTGGATCAACCCTCGTATGTAGACTATTTCATATTATTTATAGGTCTTTTATATGGACCACCTTATGTATTAAATTGAACAAAGACCCCCAAGGAATACAAAATTAACACTAATTTTTGTAAATGTGCAAAAAATTAATGATCAAGCTATCAAGTTACTGATTCAGTTTTGATTTTAGTATCACATGTTATTTTCAAACACTATAGTGTCCACGTTTTGCCAATATTTTTTAGGTGTTTAGCATTGGTGCCTGTAACATGTGATATTTTTGTTGCATGTAATAAAGTCATTATTTTTTTGACTTACGTTCAGCATTTGGCATCAGTGTCTGTAACAAACTATCACACTTTTCTTATTGCAATCAGGTGGTGACATTTTTATGTGACTTTACATATAAATTTAATCATTTAATTTAATAAATCATTTAATTACAGGCCAGTAGCCAGGATTTGCCAGGGGGAGTTCACTTTTTGAAAATTTCCAGGGGGGTTCACATATGACAATTTCGGCCCAAATATGGCTAAAATCATTTGAGAAGTGCTCAAAATGGTGACAAACTGCATGATTTTGAAAGCTTTTTTTGGCCAGGGGGTTCGCTCGAACACTGTGAACCCCCCCCCCCTGGCTACGGGCCTGGGTGGTGGTTGGTGACATTTTGTTTATATGTAATTTTACATATAAACGGAAATTGTGTCATATAACTTCAAGACAAATCTATGAATTTTTTCATCAAAGCCAGTCTATAATTATCCCAACGAACGAAGTTCGGTAGGGATATAGTGAAGCCCTCCGTCCATCCGTCAGTCAGTCAGTCCGTCCGTCCGGAAGATAACTCAAATATTAGTTGACGGATTTTCTTCATATTTGGTGGAAAGATGTATATTGATAAATAGTTTTATGCAAAAAAAATTTTTTCAAGATGGCCGCCGCTTTAAAAATGACGGGACTTTTTCGCAAAAATAATAAAGTTTTCATTCTAAACCAAAGTAATTAATATTATTGTTTGAAATTTTGGTAGTTTATTCGCAACATCTATCAAAATGGCCGTTTAATGTACGATTTCGCAATATTTTTTCGATCCCTTCAACGTAGGGCTATATAATACTCAAATTGAAGGAATTTTGGAGTAGATCACAATTATGGTATTATTTTTCAGATTTGTACCTCAGAAAATTCAAAATGGCTGCTTTGCAGGAATTCACAATTCTAAAATCTAAATTTTTCAATTTTAACCAAAGTAATGAGTATAATTGATTGGAATTCGGTAATTGATATTTTGTTCGTTGGGATTTGCTACTCCGCGGAGTTGCCATTATCTAGTTGATTATGATAAATTTTCATGCCAAATATCTCAAAATTGGAGATCAATGTTCTGGTGCCTAAAGAAGGATGAATTAGCTTTACTTAATGCATTTACATCTGTGATTTGTGAATTTGACACTTTATCAATTTTGCAGTTCCCCCCCCCCTCAGATTTGCTCACATTGAAGTTTAGATTGCACACGTATGTCTAATGACCAAAACAAATAGTATGTCATTTTCGTGAAACAGATGTTCCTCTTCTGAATATACAAACTGAAAAAATGAAATGAATTGTCAAATTTACAATAACATTAGTCTTGATTCAAGCCCCTGTCTTCCGGGGGTTTGATGTAAGACTCTAATAGCAGTATTAATTATCTAAATGTACGAGGGATGATCATAAAGTTCTAGGATTAAAATCGTGACGACTTTATGAACACCCCTCGTAGATATATTGTACATATTAAAAGTGTTGCCCACTCTAAAGCTACATGTATAACACACAAAACAAAAATAGAATATGAACAATTTTTGTATAGAAATCAGGCATATCGTGTTAATGGTTTCTTACAGTGGATAAAAAGTACTTGGAAAGACAAAATATGTAAATATTAATAATGTAATTTATTTTTCAATTTGAAATAAAGATATTATGCTTGAGAAATTAATATTTGATGTGGTTAATTTGATAATGAATATTGTTATTGGAAATATCTTTTTTAAAACCAAGCAGATATATGGCTCGGAAAAACGCGGAAAAAATGACAAAGGTTGTCACAAATTTTTAACTTAAACTATTGAAACCGATTTCACTTGCCAGCAAAGGATACTTTAGTCCTTCACGAACCGAGCATGTCAATTTGGTTCGTTATATATTCAAATAAACATTTTAAAAATTCAACATTTTATAAAAATCAATGCTAGCCAACGTGTTATTATGGAATGGGTAGACTGAATAAGTAATAGGTTCCTAATTCCCCTGAAAATCCTAAAACTGGGTACTGTTTTTGAAAAACCCTAGCAGTCAAGTCGAGTAACTAAGTCAACATTCGAAAATAAAAATCTCAAAAATCGAACATCTTTGATTTCCAAAATAATTTTGTGAGGTGGTTAAGATGATAATACACATTTTAACGTATTAATTTTGAATACATCTCGAATCCATTCTCACACGCGGTACTAACTCACCGGGGCGTATCGAAACCAAAACACCCCCAAACGCCCCACAAAACCGTTCATTTGAATTTCATATCTAACCTGTCTTTGGAAAATCAATGATTGTGAGTCTCACACTACACCGTTTTTCTTCAAACTTGTTCCATTAAAACCTACACAGAAATACCCTTCAGTCGAGACATTGCCTTTGTATAAAGTCCCTCGTTTTAGCGGCGTTTTGATCCCCAGATGTGAGAAGTTGCAAATCCTCGGAGATTTCAACCACAATCCTTGATATCTCGTCAGTTCTTCTATCACTCTCCCCCCCCCCCCCCCATATTCTGCGCAAGGACTCCCTTTACAACCCTCCATCGCTGCATCAACATATTTATTACATGAAACGCAGCAATTTTGAAAAGTCCTACGCAACTGTTCGAAATTGACCAAAACGCCCCGTTGTCTTCCAAAACGCCCCGCAGAGTCTATGACTACAAAACGTGTATCTACATAAGGCGTATAGATCCAACGGGGCGTTTTGGAAGTGTTTTGATCAATTTCGAACAGATGCGTAGGACTTTTGGAAATTGGTGCGTTTAATGTAATAAATATGTTGCTGCTGAGATGGAGGGTTGTAATGGGAGTCCTTGTGCAATATGTAGGGGAGAATAATTAAAGAACTGGCGATATATCGAGGCTTTTGGTTGAAATCTCTGAAGATTTGCATCTTCTCACATCTGGGGACCAAAAAACGAGTGACTCTGTACACAAAAGCAATGTCTCGAGTGAAAGGTATTTCTGTGAAGGTTTTAATGGAACAAGTTTGAAGAAAACGGTGTTATGTGAGACTCACAATCATTGATTTTCCAAAGAAAGGGTAGGTTTGAAATTCAAATTAACGGTTTTGCGGGGCGTTTTGGTTTCGATAAGGCCCGATGAGTTAATACCGCGTGTCTCAACAAAGCGTTCACGAAATAAGTATTCGAAATGTTTGAGTTCGGGATAATAAAAGTACGTTAAGATATAACGCTCCTTAACAAATTCCTTTTGGAACAAGATATAGAATCAAAAGCATATTCTTCTTATTTACTCCCTGACACATGCCAATGAATGTTACATAAGTAAATATCTCCGTTTTAAATAATTTTGTAACCGTTGTTCTCTACAGGTGCCATTTTTTATGATTGAAAAACAAAATTGAACATTTTGCATTTCTAAATCGATAAGGTTCTTGGAATACAACATAACTGTTAACGATTTAAGTCATTAATACGATTTCCCTAAGTGATCCCATGCTAAATAGTCAGTAACTGGGTCAATGTTTTATGTTCAACCTTGTTTTCATGACTTTTAAACATGAGTCGACAATTATGTAGGAAATTTCAATTCCAAATGTCAGCGTATCAACTCGTGTTTATTCAGAATATTTAGCCTTTTATAATGATAGATCGCCAAAATCTGCATGTACCTCTCAATGAGGCGATATGTTTTTTAAATTAAGAGATGTAAGTTGATAAACTCAAACTAAAATTCAAACCACCCACTATTATTTTGATTGCACAAGATGAAATTTCCTCTCCCGGGGAGCACTTTGGTAATACTTTGAAGGAGGATTCTTGAAAATCTTTCGAATTTTCACAAAAGGTTTCATGCAATAACCCAGATGCGAGTAGAAATAATCTTGATTTACGTCATTAAAAATTAAAAATTCAGTCAAAGTAATATCATATTTGAAATCTACATGTAAAATTATATCTAGAAATGTGGTTTTAAAAAGTGTTTATTAACTTTGAAAAATTAATTTTCTTTGAAAATGTGACTTCTAGCTCGGGGAGATTCCCCATAGACCCCATGCTATAAAATCACAAAAAATGAAATATCTTTTCTTTTAGTGGACAGATAATATTTTGCTTTACTGGATATATTTTCATTAGTATAAGTATCAGACACATAAGGGTTATATGAAAATTGAGCCACTTAAATTGATAATATTCAAGTTTAAGGGAACTTTCTTATATACCTGCCATGTTAATTGACCAGAATCAGCCACCTGGTGGTGAAACTGGTAACTACCTACTCGCATTTGGGTAATTTCATTACTTTGTTTAATCCTCAACTAAAACCATACTCAAATCCGATACCATAATTATAAATTAAAATGAAACATTAAACTCACCAGGTTCTATGAGAAACCGCTTCGAGCATTGATGATCTGAGTTAAACTGTGGATATTTATATAAATGTAAGTCGGCATGTAGACATGAATTCACACAAATGATATGCATCAACGTGTGACTTAAATATCAATTCGT